CCTGAAGTCACACCTCCAAGTACTGTCACCCTGGCTGTTTGGATTTCAACATAGAAATTTGGAGGTGGGCACATAAGCATTCAGATCATAGTATTGTTTACGTTCATTTCCTGGCATTTGTCACACTGTGTTGGACTTAGTGAACAGTGTACAAATGCATGCTACGTGGGCCTCGTCCCCTACTCCTGTGCCCGTCACTGATCATGCTAGAGCCACAGCATTTCTTGTGGCTGAGGTCCTAGAGATCGTCCAGCAGAACCTCAGCATAGTCCTTTGGGGTTAGAATCCAGGTTGCAACCTGTTTTGTGAGAGCTAGTTATTTGCATCCTGGCTTTTCCTTTGAACTTGGAGCTCCTTCAGGAGATTGTACCTCTTGGCCCCGTGTCCCTGTGTCTAGCACAGAGCCAGACGCTTAGTGCTGCTTTGTTGAATGTATGTCATCTTGAATCGTTGAAGCAAAGCCCCGAAGTAGTGGTCCTTACACACAGCTCCAGCGCACTTGCCTTAAGTAACAAGCTTCCATCAGAGTTTGAGGTAGCACCAAGTGATTTTTATATAAGCTTAACCCCTTTTATTTGAGAATCCCTGGTTAAAGTATTGAACAACTATTTTTAATAGCTACTCTTTCAGAGTAGAAGAAATAGACCTTCAAAACAAAGAATTATAGACCCTGTGAATTATTACTAGAGGGCTAGGAAAAAGTTATCTTTCTTGTTCTTTTACAAAACTAATCTTTAGTAAAGAGTAATTTACATATCAGTAAGTACACTCTGTCCAAGTGTGACTTTTGTAGTCATATGGTTTAGATTTCTCTTTCCTTTTTTGTTAAAAGCCAAACAAGATCAGCTTCAGAATAACTAGAAAATTTGGGTGAAGTTCTTTAAAAAAGAAAGCTCACTTCCTGTAGCCGTAATGGTGAGCTCTTTAGAGCTTTCAGTGTTGAACAACGTCTGTGTCATGAATGCCATAAGCTCGCCACCATGCCCTGGAGCCTGTTAGTAGAGTCCAGTGGTCATGCCTGGCCTTCTGAGTTCTTACAGAGGCAGAGTTTTTGTTAAATGTTTGTTGAGAATATTCTGTACCAGGTACTGAACTAAGCTATGAAGAAAGGAAAATGGCGAGGACTCTTCCATCATCTTCCTCTAATGAGGACTACAGCCGTGTAGATGATCACAGTACAGCCGTACACTCACAACTTACTGTGACGTGTTTGTGAATCATTATCCTTTAATATTTGAAGATCATTATTGGTTTCTACCCTTTTCCGTGTTATTAGCTGTGTCTTTTTTTGTTCAGTGTTGGCTAAGGGCTTGTATGATTTTACTGATATTCTCAGAGAAAGAGCTTTGATTATACAGAACTTTTTTTTTTTTCTTAAATTTTTAGGGGAGGGTCTACAGGGTGTTGAGATTGTCACTACTAGATCAGACTCATAGTGATTCTCCTGTTTACAGCCCCCCCCCAACTGGGATTATAGGCATGCGCCGCCACGCAATTTGAGTCTCAGTGAGCTGGGGGGGGGGCAGGGGTGGAGCTGGCTCTGCAGGCCTGGGGATAGACCCCCGGCCCTGAGCCTGCTTTAATCTATTTGGCCAGCCCTACTTTCTCTAGTACACTTTTCCTAGTTTCTCCTGTCCTTTCTCTAGTACTTTCTTTTGGTTTTATGTACTGTTTTTCCCCCTTTGTGGTATATACTTAAGAGAATGCTAATTTTCCGCTTTTTCCAATACATGAATGTAAACTCTAAATTTCCCCTAGTTATGGTTGGAGCCACATCCTGCATTTTTGTTGTCATATTTTTTAATCATTCAGTTAAAAATATTTTGTCTTCACTGTAATTTCTTTGACTCATGGGTTAAACAAGTGTGATTATTTTTAATAATAGTATTTTTATTGATTTCTTCATTATACTAAGATCAAATGATCTTGGTATTTTATGAAATTTTATTTCTTTGATGCATGTTGAGGTTTGCTGTATGTATATATGATCAGTTTGTATATATGGTCAGTTCCATATGCACTTGAAAGTATTATCTATTTTACCAATATCAAGAACTACTGATTTGTATACATCAGTTTGATCGAGCTTTTAAACATGTTAGTCTTTTGTAGCTATCAATTTTTTGTTTTTATTTTACTTATTTTTTCATTTTATGTATTTATTGCAGGGTCTTACTATGCAGCTTGGATTCATAGTGATCCCCCTGTTTTCAGCCTCCCCAGTGCTGGGATTACAGGTGTGCGCCACCACACCAGGACTCAGTTCCAGCTCAGTGCGCTCCGGGGACAAGGCCGATGGGGCATGTAGGGCCAAGGATTGAACCCTGCTCCTTGCACTTGTATCTGTCAATTTTTGTTTCGTTTTTCAGTTGCTATATCAATCTCCCCATAGGACTTTATGGGTTTGCCTGTCATTTTAATTCTTTCAGTTTTGCTTTATGTATATGGAGACTGTTATCACTCACATAAAAATAGGACATTGTGACACCTACACAGTAGATCGGTTCTGGTAGCGTTTCTTAGTATCACATGATATTTCCTGTTCTAAAGACTTACTCTGAATAGATGGCTGTGTTGGTCTTCTGGTTAGAATGTATATAATATGTATTTTCCAGTCCTTTTGTTTCTTTATTCCTGTATTTGATGTGTGCCTTATATAAATTAGCTAATATTTCCCTCCCCTGCACTCATCTTTTGTCATATTTTAGTCTATTTAGATTTAAATAATTGTGGCTACTTTTGAGATTGGATCTAAATTTAATTTGTATTTGTCTTATCTATTATTGTACCTCTTTTGTCTTTATATTCTTTGGATTAATCATAGTTTTAAGAATTCCATAGTTTTACTTCCTTTATTAGCTTGTTGAAATAACTTTTTATTTCAGTTGTTGTTGTATTGTTACACGAATTCAAAAAATTAATGCTTTATGGCCTGTATAAAACAGGAACCTTAAAACAATAACTTACTTTTTTTGGGTTTAGCCGTTATTTTAATTTTCCATATATATTAAATATGGCTAGACATTTTCTATTATAGTTTTATATAATTAGTATTCCTTTAGGCTTAACCTTTACCTTGAAGGGGCCCTGGTGGTTTGGTTTGGTTTGGTTTGGTTTAGTTTTTTTAAAAATAATCTTTCTAAAATCCTTTAGCCTGAAGAGCTCCCGTTTGTATTTCTTTTAGTGCCAATCCACCGGAAACCTGCTCTTTCTAAATTTGCTTGTTAGAGAGCATTTTTATTTCACGGTAGGGTTTTTTAAGTTTTTTTTTTTTTTTTTTTTTTTAATTCCCTTAAGGGTAGAATTTCAAGTTACCCTTAGCTGCTCACCTTTGGTGTGCCGCGGCTGTCATTCCATTGCTTCCATTGTTTCTGTCGAAACGCCAGCTGCCAGCCTTACTAAAGAGGAAATGTGGGGTTTCCCTCAGTACTCGAGATTAAAACCAGCGCCTTCACGCTGACCTACATTGTCCTGTTTTAGCCTTTATTTTGAGTCAGGATCTCAGTAAGTCACTAAATTGCCCAGTGTAGACTTAAATTTGTGATTCTCCTGTCTCAGCCTCCCATTCTTAACTAGAATTACTGATCTGGTCTACCATGCCTGGCTGGTTATGTGTCATTTGAAAGATTTTGTCCTAGTTTTTCAGCAATTTGTGATATGACACATTGAAACTTGTATGTTTTGTTATTGTTACCAGGGTCTCTTTGCAATTTTGAACAACCCTGGGCTACAGACTAAAAATATTATTTCAACCACAGGCTTTCTCTTTCTTCCCTGGGGCTCCAGTTTTATGGTACTAGACCTTTATAAGCTTATCTATTACATCTAATCAGCTGTTTTCTTTATATTCCTTTTTTAAAAAAAACTTGCTTTAGTATGACCAGCTTTTACTGATCTTCCAGTTCGCTAATCTTTTTTTCCCACTTTCACCAACCTGCTATGTAAACCTGAAATCTTTATTAGTTGCTATTTTTCTCAATTCAAGAATCTTTAGTTCATTCTTTTGTATGTCTTTCAGGTCTCTCATAGCATCCTCAGTCCTGTCTTCTGTTTTCTTGAGGCATTAGTAATTGTTACTGTTTTAAAGTTTGTATCTGGTAACCCCAGGTCTTAGGTCTGCATCCCTCTGTTTTCCTCTGGACATTAGTTCTCCTCTTCCGTCTGCCTGATAACTTCTGGTTGACGCTGTACATTGCGGGGAAATTACAGAAGCTCACGTGCGATCTCTCCTTTCACAGGAGGGTTTTTTTTTTTTTTTTTTTTTTTAATTTCTGGCCGAGCTGTTCGTGGCACGCATCACTTTGATCCAGTCCAGGATTCAGGTGATTCTAACTTGGGAGTTTACAGTGTTCTGGTGTCCTCAGCGCTGCGAGACTACTGGCAGCTCAGCTTAGGTTGTTAGCGTTCAGTCTCTTCCTAGCAGCTTTGGTCCTGACCCCTGGATCCTTGCCGCCCCAGCCCCGGCACAGGCAGTGCCTTCAGCGGAGCAGCGGTAGTGAGGCGTGTTCAGCTCACTTCTGTGCCTCTCCATTCTCTAGGAACTTGGCTTTTTAATTTTTTTTCTTTGCTGCTTTTTGATACTGTTTAGAAACTGACTTTTTACCTTCTGGTTCGTTTGCTTGAGAGAAGCTTCATCTGGTACATGCTACACCATCTCTGGCAGAGTTCTCTTTGAAGACCTCCAGCCCCGAGGCATTACAGCCCCACTCTCTTGACCTAACAATTCTGAAGATGATTTGTCCCAGTGCAGTCAGCCGGGGGCAAGGACTCTGATATACGAATGTGGAGAAAGCATAGTTCAGTCTATGGCATGCTATATATAATACAGACGCTTCTCAACCGTAAACCCATTGCAAAGTCAAAAATTCGTTAAGTTCAGACCGTCATAAACTCAGAACCATCTGTACATTAAAGTACTTAGTTACCTGTCACATAGTAATTTATTAGGTATAGTTGTGTGGAAGAGGTGATCGTAAACATTTTTCTCTTTTTGTTTCTAGGTGCTGATTTAGGATTACTTTATAGCACACTAGGAATGGTAATTTCCACTTTTCAGGACTGCAGACTAAGAAGCTAAAGAGAAGCCTGTGTAAATAACTGGCGCTGCTCCTGCTGTCTTTTTGCACTTGGAGACCCTTTTGTTTCACATACCTGAGGAGTTTTTAACTAGTGCAGTCACTATGAATGTGACAAGTTTATTTTCCTTCACAAGCCCAGCTGTGAAGAGACTTCTTGGGTGGAAACAGGGTGATGAGGAAGAAAAGTGGGCAGAAAAAGCTGTTGATGCTCTCGTGAAAAAACTGAAGAAAAAGAAAGGTGCCATGGAGGAACTGGAGAAGGCCTTGAGCTGCCCGGGGCAGCCGAGTAACTGTGTCACCATTCCCCGCTCGCTGGATGGCAGGCTGCAGGTCTCCCACCGAAAGGGACTGCCTCACGTCATCTACTGCCGCGTGTGGCGCTGGCCTGATCTTCAGAGCCACCATGAACTGAAACCACTGGAGTGCTGTGAGTTTCCTTTTGGTTCCAAGCAGAAGGAGGTCTGCATCAACCCCTACCACTACAAGCGAGTAGAAAGCCCTGGTGAGTGAGTCCTTCTGTGGTGGTGGACTTTGTGTGCCCAGTAGATCTGTGTTGTCTCAAGCCAAATAATCTCTGTTATTTAATCTTAATTCCAAAATATTTGGGGAAAGCATCTGCGTGTGTGTGCGTGTGTGTGTGAGAGAGTGTGTGTTACTGCTGAGAGAGAGGGAGGAGGAAAGGAGAGAGAGAAAGCCTATGTCTGAGCTTTCTATCCCTGTAACAAGTACATGAGAGTCAGCTCACAAAGAGAAGAGCTTTATTTTAGCTCCCAGCTTTGGAGGTTTCAATCTATGACCAGTGGTCCCCATTGCTTTTGGGCCTGTGGCGAGGTAGCATGTCATGGTGTGGAGCTTGTAGAGAGCAGAGTGTGTGGCAGAGCACAGAGGAAGAGGAGGGAGCTGGAGTCCTGTGATTCCCTTCAAAGGCCTAATCCCATGACCTGACTTCCCTCCCACTGGGCCCCATCTCTTAAAGTTTCCACTTAACATGGCACTTAAAGGAGCCATTCTGGGAAAGAAACCTGTAACACAGCAGGCACTTTGTATTCATCTCTGATGGAATTTTGCTGTGGCATATTTCTTGTGGAGGATATGAAGGAATTATGTTCTACTGTAAAACCTTTTGATAAAATTATTTTATAAATTTTACAAAATAATTTTATACCTGGATTCTGCATCCATAGGAGTAAGTGGTGATTGAAAATACTGAGAAGAAAAATATAGTTGCATATAATGGGCATAGACACATTTCTTATCATTACTCTCTAAACAATGGAGTGTAATAACTACACAGCATCTTCATTATATTAGGTATTAGAGATTATTTAAACTACAGGGGAGGATTGTATATAGGTAATACACCAATATTCCATCATTTTACATGAGGAAGTTGAGGCTCTGCAGATTATAATGCCTCAGGGAGTCCTTCATGGGAGTCTTGCACTTGGAGATCCCGTTGTTTCACATATTGGAGAAGTTTATATCTAGCTCAGTCCCTATGAATGTGACAAATTTATTTCCACTCACAAGCCCAGCTGTGAAGAGACTTCTTAAGTGGAAACCGGTCTTTCATGAGAATGGACAGAAAACTGTTTTTTAGTTTGGGTACCATTTTGCCTTTAAGTTAGAATCCACATTTGAGACAAATCAATTGGAAAGTGATTAAATATGGAAGCATTTAAATATCTCGTTATCACATTGAGACCGGCTTTGTTAATGGATTGGCTATTAATATAGCTAGTGGCTATTTGTAAA